TAGCCAACAAGTCCATCTACACAACCATGATTGCCCGGTCTATTGTTGAGCTAAATTGACTCCTCACGAGACTTTCGACCTGCACACCAAAAACAAGAAGAAAAACCGGAAAAATACACGAAAAACACAAAGAAAACCAAAATGGAACATAACACATAATAAAACACAAAACAAACTAAAAACTCACGATAGGACCTAAAACGGGGGAAAAAGATTGATAAAACAATAACGAAAAATACAACAAAAATGGGACAAACAATTTTCATGGCTAACAGAGGGAGAGGTTTGGTTCCATAATAGATAAAACAATTTTCATAATTAAATTTTAGATTGTCTTTCAGAACAAGTAACCAAAATAATATTAATAATAATCAATGAATAAATAAAAATAGTTTAAACCCTTTTTTTTATTAACGTTTGCATGTTTCGTATAATATATTGTGCCCAAATCATGTAAGTACCCGTTTTACATGTGAACATTATAGTGACATTAGAATTACAACATTTGCTAATAATATTGGGTTAATATAAAAAAAAAGTGCAAGATATGTGTAAGAGAACCATCTAAAAGAATTGTAAATAGATTTCATTAAAAAATCTAAAATGTACATGGGTTTTTTAGATTTTTACAGAAATGTTTATTATCCTTTGATTACGAATTAAATTATCATTTTCTATGATTATAGACATTCAAACCACTTTTCATAATGGTATTTAAGAATATGGCATAGTAGCAAAAATATTATTACAAATGTAAAAAAAATACGAATAGCATTAATATTAAATATATTTTAATAAGTAATTTTAAGTATTATTCATACATTATTCATAAATTTTATTTATGAGAATTTATAGTCATAAATAAATAATAGAAGGACATTTCTCATGGACCAAATTGTATGAATATTTAAACATATGAACCAATATACAAACTTTGATGTGTAGTTTTCTGAATTTCAAAAATTCAATTTGAGGTATAGTCTTCTAATGTTTTCCAATTTGAAAAATTAGTTAAGAGTCGTTAACACAAACCAAACAATAATTAAGAGCCATTAAAAACAAACCGAGATTAACAATAGTCTACATTATTTTTCAACTAGTACGTTACCCGCGCGTTGCGCGTCCTAATATTAAAAATGGTGTGAATGAATGAAAATTTAATAGAAAAATATTTTTTTACAAATTTATTGAGATAATGTAGAATAAATTTTTTATTAATCCATTTAAAAATACTTCCACAAATACAACATCTATAATAGGTGAAATGTGTTTGTTATCACGAATAGTAATAATAATAATTAGACAACATGGATCGTGATTCTAAAAAAAATAACAATTAAAAAAAAAGAAATTATAAAATCCAATATAATTTGTTTTAAAAAAATTTAAAATTAAATTTTTAAGCTTACAAAAATATGTGGTATACCATGAAAAAAAATTATTTGTCACATTAATGACACTTCTTCAAAAGTTTTTATAAAAATGTATATGTGATAACATAATTTTCATGGTTCAAAAAAAAAAAAA